CACACTTGAGCATGGAGGATGAATGCGGTGTTGTGTTCGTATACTTAGCGCGAACCTGCCCATTTTTCCCGTCAGGTTCATGCTTTCTGCACACAAACACAGCAGGAAGGTCATGTAGGAGGATGAATGCCCCTACCAGGCCACACTTGAGCATGGAGGATGAATGTGGTGCTGTGTTCGTATACTTAAGGCGAACCTGGCCATTTTTCCAGCCAGGTGCAGGACAGTCATGTAGGAGGATGAATGCCCCTACCAGGCCACACTTGAGCATGAATGAAGCAATTACGATGTATTATGCTTAAGCCCAGGACCGATAGTCGAACATGCACGTTGTGTGCGAATCTGGCCATTTTTCCGGTCAGGTTCATGCTTTCCGCGCACAAACACAGCAGGACTGTCATGCAGGAGGATAAATGCCCACAGCAGGCTCACTTGAGCATGTACCAGGCAGTTAAGCCCAGAGGACCCAGAGTTGGGCATGCACGCGATGTTTTGTTCGTGTACTTAGTGCGAACGTGGCCATTTTTCCAGCCAGGCTCATGCTTTCCGCGCACAAACGTAGCACCCATGGGCCTTGGCCCTTTCTGAAGTACAAGCACCTCAACCGTTATGCACAAACATAGCACAAACATGGCTACGTTCGTATACTGAGCACACACCTGGCCGTTTTTCCAGCCAGGTTCACGCTTTCAGCGCAGTACAAGCACCTCAACGCACAAACATAGCACAAACATGGCTATGTTCGTATACTGAGCACACACCTGGCTGTTTTTCCAGCCAGGTTCACGCTTTCAGCGAAGTATAAGCACCTCAACGCACAAACAGAGCACAAACATGGCTATGTTCGTATACTGAGCACACACCTGGCCGTTTTTCCAGCCAGGTTCACACTTTCAGCAGATAACTCACCATAACTCAGGATTATGGAAACCGTAATGACACACCGTTGCACCTCGACAGTCACATGCCACCGTGTAGCAGACAGTGCTGAAATGTTAGTGCGAACCTGGCCATTTTTCCCAGTCAGGTTCACGCGTTCTGCGCACAAACATAGCACCGGCGGTCAAGCAAACGAAATGGGACATGTTGACGTGTTGCTTGCCTACAGAGATGGTTCCGCTCAAGGATCCGCCCGCACGAACCTGGCCATTTTCCCAGTCAGGTTCATGCTTGGCTGCAGAGCTGGTTTCACTCAAGGATATGCCTGCGTGGCACTTGGCCATGCCACAGTAGCCCCATACATATCAAATTATCAATCCCCGACTCGGTCCGACCATAGTTCCCATCATCTCCATCCAGCCCAACCATTGATATGGGTATGAACATTATAGATATTTCCGTCCATATCCATTGCCCTGCTGCACTGCCAGGCCTGCTGCCATCAAGATTTCCTACCCCTGAACAAAGAGCAGGATCTTCAGCAATCGGTCTAGTAGCTCAGTTGGTACACCAAACGAACTTTGTTGAAATACGGAGCCAAGTTTGAATCCAGCTGCGCAATCAGGAGGAGGAATACCATCATTGCGGCATATGTGAATTCTCTCCCTGCACATCAGATGCTTATGCTCTGCATCCCTCCCTCCTCCCAGGAGGGCGGATCAGCTAGCAATTTCACCGCCATCGGAAGTTTGGTCGTTGGCCATGTAAAGCAGACACCCTCAAGTTTGGGCACCCTTGGCAGTGCCGTGACTCGATGCCCCTTCCTTGATCAGTCGATCGACTAGAGAGCGGAGAATCGAGTTTGTCTCCCGTCTTTCCATAGCCTCCATTTCGTCGCGCTTTTGTTGCGATTCCGACTGCTGACGTACGCGGTCGTCGTAACTGTCCCAAAACTTCTTGTCCATCTCGGCCAGCAATCCCATCATTGTTTCCATCAGCGCTTGCCGCGACTTCGCACCTCCAAGTTTGCCCTTCTTTACGCTCCCCCCGTCTCGCCCGCGGTCTCCGTCCAGGTCATCGGAGGGACGACCAGTTTCCGTTACATCGCCCGTCCCTTCGTTCCCCGTCTGAGCGTCGTGCCTCTCTCCCTCCACGGCTTCGGTGCACCTGGCAAGCGGCATCCTGATAACCAGTGTTCCGGGTGTCGCCTGGCACCCAAGGCCGCCGCCCTCCTCATCTAACCCAGCAGGTACATCTGCACCCGGGCTCCGAACTGCACTGAAGGTTGGGCATCGCGGCGTCTTTGGCATTGCCAAGGTCGGAGGAGCGTGAATAGGAGGAGCAGGAGCAAGTGCTGCAGGCACCGCCACCTCTTGGATCTCAGAGTGAAACAAGTCGGCGGCACTTCGTGACGGGTGGTTGCTGCGCATGATCACCATCGGCGAGCTCACGATTAAATCGTAGACGTGAGGAAAACCAGCTCCATGCCCTTTGAACTCGAGACCGCCGCTGCGTTCGTTGTCTGCCTTGAGATCTTGAAACTTCCTCCAGATTCTTTCAAACTTCTTCCGGCACTGCTCGCTGGACCGCTTGAACCCGTTTTCGGACATTCGAGCCGCCACAATCTTCCAGTTCTCCTTGTTGTTGCCCTGATTCTTGAACTTCATCTGCTGAGAGGTAACCCCTCCCTCCATCCACGACCGCACAGCCCGATCAGGTAATGCAAACCATGCAATCACCAACCCGTCACAAACATGCAGAGTCATTGCAGACAACATTAGCCCGAAAAAGAGCAGGCAGCCTCCGTTCACGACAACACAAGCAGGCAGACGATCATCCCGTTTTTCTGAAGAGTCTGTGTACCACATTTGCACAAGCATCGTGTCATCCCGTTCGAACACATCGGTACAACTTTCCCTGTCTCTGTTTGCATGTATGCCTGTTTGTCTATCCATTGTTCAGCCAGTTTGTCGTCACACACAGTGTCTTTACATACCTGTGCACACAGGCACATGCGTCCACAAACACAGTGCACCACACACGTGTAACTCCCATTCTTCCACTCTACGTAACTGTTAAGCCTGATGGTACCCAGCTCGGCATGTGGGTCCCATCTCTCTCTCTCTCTCCCTCTCTCTCTCTCTCTCTCTCTCTCTCTCTCTCTCTCTCTCTCTCTCTCTCTCACACACACACACACACACACACACAGCTTGCTCTAGGATCCACATATGCTGAACCCACGACAAAGCCGTATATTTCATAGCTGACCAATTAACATACAGGCACCTTATGTTACAACGCAGATAGACTGGTGACTTGGGAGTCAGAGGTTCCTTTCACATTCAATGAAGAAAAGGAACGCCTCGAAAATAACAAGATCGATTGTTGTGCTCTCCTGCAGAAACTATGTTTTTTTTTTTTTTTGGTCATAATCAGTCATTGAGATGGCGCCATTTCAATAGTTGTTTTCCATTTTTTAGGATAAAAAAAATGTCATAAAATGATAAAATGATAATGTCATAATGGTTAATCAAATTAAAATTATTAAATAAATAACATTCGTCCATTTGATCTTACATCGTCAAACAGCTGCCAATCAGCATCCCCAGTCTCTGTGTTCGGACATTTTGCTCAGAAGGGAGTCTGCACGCTTAAGCCACCAGTACTTGGACCCATACATCCTCCGCGCGCCCCCCACATCGACGCGCCATGACTTTTGGCGCCAGGCAGCCCTTGATAAATCTTCATCAATGGCCTTTATCGCATTTACGGCATCCAAAATTGGCGCCCGTTGATAAAGATAAATCTCATCCATGGCCTTTGTCGCATTTACAGCATCCGGAATTCGCTGTGAGGCGCCCGCAGCATACACAGCCGATGTATGGACCAAGTACACGGGCCCAGGCGATCTTGAGAATAAAAAAGGAGTCGTTCCAAAAAGTCCGGATGAAGAGTGGTACCCGACCAAAAAGGCTGGCGGCGCCAGCCAAAAAAAAAAAAAAAAGGCCGCGCTGG